AAAAAAAAACAACTTAGTAGTTTTTCCTTTAAAACTATTTTTACTCTTATTATAGGCCAGTTTTTTGGGTGTAACAACACCTAATGGGGTTTTTTCCCCCCTTAGAAATAGATGCATACCCACTCCACAAAGGAGGCCTGAAATTTATCTCTAATACTATTTTGCAAGCATGTTTTATCATTCTTTTCTGGAATCTTAACAGTTCTAGGAGCAACCATTTCTGTTACTATAGAAATTTCGTTGACCTTTTAGCTCAGGAAACTCCGGTGGCATAATTCATAGAGCATAGCTGACCCCAAGGCAGTGTGCTCTGGAAGTTCAAATCATCCTCCCTGCAGTGATTCACAGCATCTAAAGCCCCACCGGAGGGTCAGCTGGGAGTAGGTTTTGACTCAACAGCAGTGAGTTTGAGTGTTTTGGGGAGTCTCTTTAGTTGTTGTGTTTTTTAAAAATATATTCAGAAAATCTCCAGAATTTCTAGTTTATTTTGAAAGCTATTCTCATTTTATAAAATGAAATTTATATAATGTAATCATTGATAAAAAGATAAAGGGTATTTTTTTAATCAGCCTTCATTTCCTTTAGTTAGAGCATATATAGTTTAATTAGTTCATCAAAGATTTATCATAATCCAAAATGCTCAGTGAATTTCTAAAGGAAGCTACTAACACAGAAACTGAAAGTCCTTTTGTTTGTTTTGTTTTATTGTTTTTGTGTGTGTGTACCGTCAAATCAGATCTGACTGGTACAGGAGGAGATTGTTCCTCCTTCCCCGGCAGAACATCTGGTGGATTCGAACCATTCGCCTCTGGGTTTGTAGTTGCAGCTCCTTGCCACTAGGCCACCAGAGCTCCCCTGAAAGTCCTTTGTTAATCTTAGTTCCAGTGTTGTTGTTGGCTTTGTTTGGTTTTTTTTAATATGACTAAAGCAGGTAATTGTAGGAGATTTGTATTACTTTTCAAATATCTTATTACATGTCAGCATCAAGAAAGCAAAAATCCTAACCACTAGTTCAATAGGCAGCATGATAAAAAGCAGAAAAAAGACTGAACTTGTCATTGATTTCCTTTTACTGGAATCCACAATCAGCAACCACAGTGGCAGCAGTCAAGAAGTCAAATGATGTATTGCAGTGGGAAAATCGACTGTCAAGTACTTCTCCAATATGCCAAAGAGCAAGGATATGCATATAAAATCTAAGGTGCACCTGATTCAACCAATAGTATTTTCAGTTGCTTTCTATGCATCTTAAAGTTGGATAATGAAAAAGGAAGACCAAAGATGAATCGATGCCTTTGAATTGTTGTGTTGACTAAGGGTACTGAATATCCCACAGACTACCAAAAGGACAAACAAATCTGTATTGGAGAAAGTACATGAGTTTTTCTTAGGGACAAGGCTTGTGCAACTTTGTCCCACATACTTTGAGCATGCTATTGGGGAAACATTCCAGTTCTTGGGGAAAGGACATCATATTGGGAAAGATAGTGGCTCAATAACAGAGGGGAAGGCCATCATCAAGATGGATTGATGCAGTGACTGTAACAGCGGGCTCAAGTGTGCCAGAGATGATGAGCACAGTGCAGGACAGGGCAGGGTTCCAGTCTGTTGTTGATGGGGTTGCTGTGAGTCAGGGTCAGCGTGAAGACACCAAACAATAACAGCCGTACAACTGAGACTAGGTATGTTCTTAGCAAGTTTTATTTTTATAAGAAAAAGTTAATAAATATTTTTTTATTATTCTGAATCTTTTGTTCCTTGCTGTATTGAAGCCATTAGTAAGATAAAAATAATTAATAATAATAATGCCCCAGGAATGAATGGGTTATGAATTTCCATATTTCAATAAACAGATGCAGCTCTAGATGTGCTTACTAAGCTCTGCCACGAAATGGAGTGGACAGCTACCTGGCCAACATATTGGAAGAGGTCCATATTTGTTCCCATTCCCAAAATAGGTGATCCAACAGTATGTGGAAACTACTGGATAAACTCATTAATATCACATGCAAGTAAAACCTGTTGTTGTTATGTGCCGTCGAGTCGCTTGTGACTCATAGCGACGTTATGTAAAACAGCCCTAAAATCTGCTCTGTGTTGTACCATTTGCACTGTCTCTGACATTCCCATCCCAGTTACCCCAGTCACTGAATTAATCCACCTCATAGAGGGCCTTCCCCTTCTGTGCTGTCCCTCCACCCTCCCAAGCATGATGTCCCTTTCCAAGGACCGATCCCTCCTTCCAACATGTCCAAAGTATGTTAGAGCCTCAAAATCCTTGCCTCCAAGGAGCCACCCAGTTTAACCCTTTCCAGGATGGAGCTGTTTGTTTTCCTAGCAGTCCATGGTACCCTCAATACTATTCTCCAGCACCACAGCTCAAAGGCATCAATTCTTCTATCCTCCTTATTCATTGTCCAACTCTCTAATGCATAAGTGATAGCAAAGACCATGGCCTGTATCAGACGCACCTTAGACTCCAGAGAGACACCATTGCTCTTCAGTACTTTGGCAAGGTCCCTAACAGCAGAAACCTTACTGAACATTCAGGCTGGATTTAGAAGGAGATGAAGCACAAGGAATATCATTTCTGATGTCAAATATATCTTGGCTGAAAGTAGAGAATACAAGAAAGATGTTTATTTGTGGTTTGTTTTTTTTTTTTTTCTTTTTACTGTGCAAAGGCTTTTGACTGTGTGGAACATAACAAATTACAGCTGACATTGAGAAGAATGGGAATCCCAGAACACTTGATTTTACTCATGCAAAACTTACACCTAACCCAAGAAGCTTCTGAATGAACAGAGCAAGGGAAGACTTCATGGTTTAAAATCAGGAAAGGTGTGCATCAGAACTATATTATTTCTCCATTCCTATTCATTCCATATGCAAAACAAATCATTTGAGAAGCTGGACTATATGAAGAAGAAAGTAGCATCAGGTTTGGAGGAAGACTCATCAACAACCTGTGTTAATGCAGATAACACAATTTTGCTGGCTGAAAGAGAGGACTTAAAGCGTTTGCTGCAGAGGATCAAAGACTACAGCCTTCTATCGGGGTTACATCTCAACATCAAGAAAATGAAAATCCTCATCATTGGGCCAATAGGTAACATCCTGATAGATGGAGAAGAGATAGACGTTGTCAGTGATACCGATCTTGCTTGTATCCATAATCAATATCCTTAGCAGTCAAAAGACCTATTGCATTGGGAAAGTCTGCTGTCAGGGACCTCTCCAAGTTCTGAAATGCAATACTAGTTTGAAAACTAAGGTGTACCTAATCTTTTAAGTTACTTGCTATGCAGCTGAAAGTTGGACAAGGAATAAGGATGACAGAATTGATGTCTCTAAATTGTGATATTGAGAAGAGTATTGAATATCCCATGGATTGCCAAAAGAACAAACAAGTCTGTCTTGGAGGAAATGCAGCCACATTTCTCCAAGGAGGCAAGGATGGTGAAACTTTATATCTCATGCTTTGATCATGTTAGGGGCCGTCCTTGGAATGGTGCTTGGAAAGGTGGAGAATCAGCGAAGGAGGGGAAGACCTTCAACAAGATGAAATGACACAGTGACTTTAATGGTGGTCAGGACGGCACAGGATAGGGCAGGCTTCAGATTGGTGTTCATAGGGTCGCTGTCAGTCATAGTCAACTCGACATTTAACAGCAATCAGTATTTGCCTAGCAGTAACTAAGGATGAGAAGCAGGAAAAGAAGTAAAACTTCAGACCTAAGATACCTCATGACTGTATGAGAGAAAAAATTATTTCCTCCCCTAGTTTTGTTTCTTCTCATTAAAAAACTTGATTTACGAATTTATTTATCAATTTTTTAACTCAATAGTAAAATAGAAAATATAAGTGTGTTTTGTCCATAACATGTCTTGCTCCTGTAATTCCTAAGGTAATTTTAAATTTCTTTAAGTTATTAACGTGTTTTCTTTCTTTTCTATCTTTCATGGCATCACTATTTTTTTGTTTCAGGAGCGGGTAGAAAATTACTCTGAAGTAGATATTCAAGAGATAAACCCCAAAAAGTGTCACTGTGAGTCTTGCGGATTATTTCGCAACTGTAGGTTCTTGGTGTGTTTATCAGGAAAATCGTATGATGCCAAGACTTTGGAAACAGATGACTTCATGTCACGTGATAAACAGGTTATTGTTTTCTTTTAACTTTAGTTTTAACTATTTAGAAATTTATAATACATAAGTTTACACAAATAACCCTAGGTTAGTTTTAGAGGTGGAAACATTAATATAGTAAAAAGGATAAATAATACTAGGAAAGATAATACAATTTTTAATATAAAATCATGTTTTATCTTATTTGTTGTTCATTGCCATCAAGTCGGAACCAGTTCATTGCTGACCTTCCAGCAGATTTTTCGCAGGGGATTCTGGTGGCCTAGTGGTAAGGAGGAGCTGTGCTTCGGACCTAAAGGAACTTGGTTCAAATCTTGCTGGAGGGTCAGCTTTGAGTCAGTTCTGACTTGATAACATATACCAGCAGTAAATCACACCAGAAGAGATTGTGCATCTTTCTTCCACAGAGAAGCTAGTTGGTTTGAACTGCCTGTCTTCGGGTTGGAAGTGCAACTCCTTACCCAGTAGTCTACCAGAGCTCCCTCTGTGTCTTATATAGTGAATTCCTTTTCCTAAGTCAGTCTGATAATAAAATGAACGCATGTTTTTGTGCATGTATATCCATGCATCACCCCTACTCCACCCTCGCCAAATTGAGAAGAAGAAAATCACTGAGGCTGAGGAGGCAGGAATCTCTTCCTGTAAAGGAGAAATAGTCCATAAAGAAAATTTTACTGCAGGTAATTTTTTATTCATATCAATAGAACACCTTGCTTAAATTTAACTTAGAATGTACCAGAAGTGTGTCGGAGTCTAGGACAATAAGCACATGCTTAAACACTTAACTTTGAAAGAATAGAAAAAAGGAAGAGTAAATGCAGAACAGTGCAATGTGAAGAGAGAAAAAGAAGTACAGCTGAAGAATACTTGTATTTTTCAATCTTAGTTTATAAGCGCTGCATTGATAAAAGAGCCCAGTGGCATAGTGGTTAAGTGCTTTGGCTGGTAACCAAAAGGTTTGCAGTTCATACTCACCAACTATTCTGCAGAAGGATGTGGCAGTCTATTTCCACAAAACTGTAACCTAGGCATCAATTCTCTTTCTATCATACCTATTCACTGTCCAACTCTCTGATGCATAGCACGTAATTGCGAAGACTATAGCCTGGATCAGGTGCACGTTACTCCCCAGCCTGATGTCGTTGCTCTTTAATACTCTTGAGAGGTCCCTCACAGCTAACTTTCCCAATGCAATTCGTCTCTTGATTTCCTGGCTGATGGTACCAAGAGTGTTGACTGTGAAACCAAGTAAACTAAAACTGGTAACTATTTCTATCTCCTCACCATCCATACTGATGCTGCCAGTTGGCCTAGTGGTGAGAATCTTTGTTTTCTTGATGTTGAGCTTCAATCCATATTGAAGGCTGTAGTCCTTGACCTTCTGCAGCAAGTGCTTCAGGTCCTCCTCAGTTTCAGCAAGCAGGGTTGTGTCATCTGCATAAAGCAGGTTGTTGATGATTCTTCCACCAATCCTGATGCCACATTTCTCCTTGTACAGCCCAGTGTCTTGGATGATCTGTTCTGCATACAGATTGAAAAGGTATGGAGACAAAATACATCCCTGAATGGACCCCCTTCTTGATTTTGAACCATCCAGTGTCTCCCTGCACTGTTCTCACGACTGCCTCTTGGTCCAAGTATAGGTTTCACATTAGTACAATCAAATGTTCTCGGATTCCCATTCTTCTCATAGTCAGCCATAGCTTGTTGTGATCCACACAGTCAAAAGCCTTTGCAAAGTCAATGAAGCACAGATAGACATTCTTCTGGTATTCTCTGCTTTCTGCCAAGATCCAGCTAACATTAGCTATAATATCCCTAGAACCACGACCTCTTCTAAATCCAGCCTGCACGTCTGGCAGTTCTCTGTTGACGTATTGTTCCAAACGTTTTTGGATAATTTCAGCAGAATCTTGCTTGCATGTGATTCTAATGATATTGTTAGATAATTTCTGAACTCTGTTGGGTCGCCTTTCTTTGGAATGGGAACAAATATCAATCTTTTCCAGTCAGTTGGCCAGCTGGCTGTCCTCCAGATTTCTTTGCACAACTTAGCATATCCAGGGCAGCATCTGTTTGTTGAAATAAATCAATTGGTATGGTGTCAACTCCTGGAGCCTTGTTTTTTGCCAATTCATTCAGAGCAACTTGAACTTTCTCCTTCATAACCATAGACTCTTGCTTACATGTTACTTCATGAAATTCTTCTCTGTCAGCCAGTTCCTTCTGATACAATGACTCTTCCATCTTCTTTTGATACTTCCTGGATCATTTAACTTTCTACCCAAAGTATCCTTAAGTATTGCCACCCATGGCTTGAATTTGTTTTTCAATTCCTTCAGCTGAAATATTTCAGTATCAGCCAATTCTTTTTGATACATTGATTCTGTATATTCCCTCCATCTTCGTATGTTGCTTCCTGGATCATTCAAGATTTTTTACAACTCAAAGCTTGAATTTATGTTTCAGTTCTTTCAGCTTCTTAAGAAGTACTGAACAAGTTTTCCCTTTTTATTCTACAAGTCTAGGTCTCTTACATTCTGTTATAGTAGTTTGCTTTGTTATCTTGAGCTGCCCTTTAAAATCTTCTATTTGTTGTTGTTGTTGTTGTTGTTGTTGTTATGTGCCGTCGAGTCGCCTGCGACTCATAGCG